AAAATTAAGTAGTCCACAGTCATGGATACGAAAACAAAAAGGGGCAGATTTCCATAGTCTCTAAGCATTCTGTAAACGATGTTCCCTACACAATCGAAATCGAATGCAAATATTAATTAAATCGAACAATTTAAAGAGGCAGCTATTCGGAGAAAAAACGAGGAAGAAAAGAAACAGCCAATTCTTACAAATTGAAGCTCTATTAATGGTGATACAAACATGATTATATCAACCCCTTAAAACAGATAAGAACGAAAAAAAATGCAACCCTTCTCAGCAATTTGAAATAAAACCTGGGAACTTAGGTGGCAAAGAGAAGAAGGAGGTGGGGGTTGCACAGAGAACTTAGGTGGCGGAGATGCGGGATAATATTAAACAAAGATAGAGGGCGGCGTCTGCAATTGGTTGAAAAAAGAGGTGGGAAGTGATGTTGGCGGCAGGGGCGGTGGGCATCGGACGAAGCGCCAGCGGCGGACGTGGAAGCGGCGAACGGTGGAACGGTGGAGGTCAACAATTGTGGCCAGATGTGGAGGCCCACCCTGAAACGACGCCGTTTTCAAGCAATCGGATTAAAAGAAAATGGAAAAAAGAAGCAGAGGCGTCGCGGTCGAGCAACTTGGGAAGAAAAGGGAAAAGAAAAGAACGCGGCCAGCTGATTGGAGAGGAAGACGAGAACAACGACGTTTGGTATTTAAATAGGGCAGAAAAAAAGCAAAAAGAAAGACATAAAAAAAAAGGGGACGATCCCCATATATATGTACTTATATATATATATATATACTAGTGTAGAGCACCGCGCAATGGGCGGTGCCGGGTGCCTCGGGTGAATACAAGAACTTATCGTATTATGTTTTTCGATATACTTTCATAAATCGATTTTTAGGCTGCATCTTTTTTTATCTTTTTTTTTACGATTAGGTAAAATTTTGGTGGAGCGACTGGGAAGATGGAGTAAGTATAGGGGTGATTCTTCAATTTTCAAAACTGTGTCGGACGGGAGGTGGATTTGTTGTCTTAAATATCAACAAATCGATCAAATTTTACGATTTACGATTTATGAAAACTTTAAAGGTATTATATTATTTATGATAAACTTGTGATAATAAATGTGGCGAATATTTTGGATATTGAAATCAAATTTGTAATTAGGGTGGAGCGGCTAGGAATATGGAGTAAGTATAGGGGTGATTCTTCAATCTTCCCAACTGTTTCAGCCAGAGATGTGGATTTTCGGAAATTACAACTTGATTTCCACTTGGGGGCATTTCCGGTTTAAATACTTTAAAATGGTATATAATATAGGGACCAAAATAGTAATTATAACACGTTTATTATAAATAATATAATAAATTATTGTTTTCTTAAATCGTAAATCGTAAATCGTAAAATTTGATCGTTTTGTCGATATTTAAGATTTATTTTAACATTTGAATCGACTTAGGTATGAATAATTGAATCGTAAGATTTGAATCGTAAATCAAAAGATTTTAAACTCGGTATTGTGAATTTTCGTAAATTCGCAATACCGAGTTTAAAATCTTTCGCATATTCCTATGATTATTATTTGAATTGGGTTACAAGCGAGCTTTGTACACACCCTCTGAGACAGTCGGTTTTCCTGTTCTCTCAACTTTCACCCTATCGGTTACTTCTCTTCGATCATTTCTTAATATCTTTCGCTTGATTTATTTATTTATTATTATTATTATTTTTTTTTTTAATTTACAACCTGAATTTACACATTTATCTATTCTTGGGCTTGCTTTTTCTTGCAGGTGTATGAATTGATTTTTCTTGTAGGCCTTTGGGAATTACGTTTATTTGGGTAATACTACTAATCAGTTCCTATATTTACCATTTAATTCGATTATTTTGCCATTTGTTTCCCTGTAATTTTTTGTCAATATTGATGTGGCTGATATTGGTTTCTTATCTTCACCGGTTATTTGTTTTGCTGAGGATTGATGAAAGATTGATTCATTGTAGACATTTACCATAGGTATCTTAACTATTACCAATAAGGTGTTTTAATTTTATTTTGATGCATGTTCTCTCCTTCGTTATTCCTTCAATGGGGGAGTCGGATTATTTTGGTATCATATAACTGTATATATATGGCAACGGCTGTTGCCAGTATTTGAAAGTCGTTTCCTTGTATCATAATTTTTTTACTGTACTTCGGGAATTGGAATCTTGAGGGCTTTGCTTTGTAGGTACTGATTGCCAGGTCAGTAGTCCTGGACTTGCTTTCTTGTGTTTCGGCTTGGTCTTGGTCTCTCTATTCATTTACAGGTTTGCCCTTTGTTTTGTTTGTTTTCCGGCTCCGGCTTGCTCTTGGTCTCTCTCTGTTCATATACAGGTTTCCCGCTTGTTGGAGAATTATATTATTATTTTGCTGGTGCCATCTACTTTTTACCCTGATTTTATTCGGGCGAGTGAATTCTGAGATGGAGATGAATTCAGCCACGTTTGTTGACGGCGCCACTCCGATGAGTAGCTTTGCGGCGACTTCGTTTGCTTTATGGCTCTTATATATATATTTTTTTTCTTACGATTTACTTTGGTTCGTTTAGGTTTTTGCATTTTTTTGATTATTTGAACTTAATGTCTTGTTGCTGTTTTTATGTTTGTAGAAATTGTACGACTCCCGAGGAAAAAATCAGCGGACATGGTACGACGGCCAGGATTTATAGAGGTAAAATTCTCATTTATTTAGTGCGTTCTTGTTTCTGTTACACAATGTACTTCTTTTTTATTCAGTCTATTTTTCTCGGTTCCGAAATTACGGATGTTTATTGTGCTCTCAATTTTGATTATGATTATTTTCAAAATATGGCTGCTGATGTTGGTTTCTTCAGCAGCCACCACCAGGTTCGCTTTGATGTATTTTTTCTTCACGTCACTTTTTCCTTCGAGTTCAGTTTAATCAGGCCCCTTAAAAGGCCTCTATAATTCTTCAATTCCTTAGGTGGATCTTGACTGCTTGTTTCTTCACATTCTTGGAACTTACTGACCGCCCTTAGCTGGCTCTTGGGTCCGGTTAACTGGTCATTATAAATAATATTCTGCAAATTTCCGGGATAAAATTCATTAAAATGGCTATTTTGATTAATGAGTATATATATCGTGTTGTTTGCAAATATTTTACTATTTGTGAGGATAAATTCTTTGGTCTTTTATTCTGATGATACTCGATCACATTGAACTATAGTTTGGAGTGAACCCCATAGTCATAGGCTGAAAATGGTGGTCGTTTTGTATTATCTCTCCAGGTCCTACTTGCTGCCTTCAGCTTCAGGTTGTACCTTCACGCTGCCAAACGTTTTCGCAAGTTTCCCAACGGAAGAACACGGGTAGTTAGTTGGCAGTCCTGATACTAATAGTTTTTAACTTTTTTATAGGTGTGGTAAGGGCAGGGAGTAGAAGCTGTGGAGGTCCGAGTCTGTTTGGATTTCATTCGTGGGGTTGACTACGCGCCTAATTGCCTGTAATTCTCTGCCCCATGTGGATGCGTATGCGTATGCGTTTAACTTTCCATTTCTGAATGCCAATTCATAAACATGGATAATTTCTGCATAGTTATTGGCTATTTGTGGTTTATGGAATTCGGTTTATAATTTGTATGTGTTTCTCTTTTCATTATTCATAAGTTGCTGCTTCAGTTTAGGCCGGGGATATGAATGCAGGGGGATAACGACCAATAAAATTCCTTAAATAGTGGAACAATCTTATACTGTCGTGCCCAAAATTGTGCTGGCTCAAACCTAGGGATATGAATGCAGGGGAATAATGAAGAATCAAATACTTTAAATAGTGGAACAATCTTATACGGTCGAACTTGTGGAAGAATTCCGCCAAAGTGAAACCAAAAAACGTTGTCAATTTGGATCGCCAATTTTTGTCGTCGAAAGTACGCGTCTTAAGGGAACATTGGCTTTCGTTTTCCTCTAAATGCACATGTTTCAATATTCGTATCGATTTAGTTATCGTAAGTTCTTAATCTTTGTCAGTGTGACGTGAACTTTAACAAAAAAAAATATTCTTTAATCAGGCGAATGGATGAACGCTTCAGCGGGACTAGCATTTACACCACATGTACTACACGTTGGAGTCGGAGAGGTAAGTTTGCTGCATTCCCTAATTAATTATCTCAATTTTATTCGGTAATCCGTCCATTTGCAGTAGTAATTTTTATGTTGCAATTATTAATTGCCAAGTCGTGTACAGGATATTGCGGCAAAAATACTGGCATTTGCACGACAGAGACCGAGATGTGTTATGCATCATGGCAGGTAGTGGATCGGTTTCTTCGGTGCCACTACGCCAGCCCACAACTTCTGGTGCCAATATTACGTTTCAGGTTAATGCATTTTCTACTCGTATACTTCTTTATACTAACCAAATAAATTTTTTTCGTTAATGAATTAATGGCATAATTGTAAATTGTGTGCCACTTTGGTTGCATATTTAGTACGTACTATGAAGCATCTATTTACCATTTTAATAAAGATGCTGATGTTTCTCTTAGAAGGTTTTGTAATAGAAAATTCCAATAATCGTGAAGCTTTAAACTTTTGTCCGGCTACAACTTCATTTTTAATAATTTAAATACACTTTTTTTGTTTCGTGAAGCTTTGAAGTTGAAGGTTATTTTTCAGTCCTAGATTGTCCATGTTGATTGTAAGTAATTACTTTATGGTCTGTCCTTTTGTTCGAGCTATCATTATTTTATTTTCTGACTTGCTATTTCTAGATAAATAGTGTCGTTTTGAGATATTGTGCTTGTCCGATTCGTACTTTCTCTCGGAAAGCGGTGGGCGCCGCATTCGGACAGGTGCTGTGTAGTCCTGATGGCCATATGATTGGAGGTGCCATAGGTGGTACTCTTATTGTAGCAAACCCTGTGCAGGTATTTGGTCTATCTACTTTGTTTTTCTGTTCAAAAACGGGTTAGTTTTCTTAGGCATTGTTTGGTTCATAAGATAAGATTAACCAAGATAAGAATATTAAATAATGTAATGAAAATTCAATTGTATTATTGGACCAATAAATAATAATGTATTGGTCACCCTATGCCCGCCTGCGTTTTGCAGCAGGGTTTTTTTTTCCCCAAACCGCTGCCTAAAACGCAACTTTGTTTTGCAAACTTCTTTCCGCGCTCCCCTTCTGGGTCAGTGGTCGGCGGCCTACAATTTCTGGCGCCACCAGCAGCAGCTTGTCGCATCTTTGCCACGTTGTTTGATATTCGCCCGCCACCTCCTCTTTTTTTTTGAATATTATCCTGCATCTTCGCCACCTAAGTTTGCTGTACAGCCCCCACCTCCTTCTCTCTGCCACCTGCGACTATTGACTCAATTCCTTATTCTTTTGCCATATCAAGTTCCCATGATTTTATGTAAATTTTCTGCTACGTACATTCTTTGGGCTTTCGAAGCTATTTCAAGATTGCCACTTTCTGCTATTATGGGTTCCATTTTTCATGTTTTGCTTCTTTCTTTTCGATGGGTGTTTTGTTGGAATTAATTAAATCACAATTTTTTTTATTATGCATAGTAAATTCTATCAGTGGGAGTGGGGTTCTGGATAACCTTTGTTTTACGTATTTTCTTTTATCATCATAATGAATTCACATTGACATTGTCTAGAGGTGTAAATTTCGGCGGTTTTGCTTTGTTCGTTAACTTTAAAGAATTGATTTACTTTTTAAGTTTCAGTTGTCATATTCGGTTGCGATGGAAAGAGTTCATTCAGGCACGATCACAGTCTTGGTTTGTACCGCCTTTTGGTTAATTTAATTACGATGAATATTACCTTTTCTTTTTTGTCTTGTGGAATAACTAAGTCCTTTTGCTCGTCAAATAGATTCCAGAGTGTGATTGGAAGCTTATACTTCAATTTGTTTTCTTTTATTGTTTGTTGTGAATTATTCCTTATTTTTCAGTTCGAGATCGGTTCAGAGGATTCTGAATTGAAGCCCTCGTTTTCATCCTCTAGAGTACCACACCAGCTGGGAGAAAAGTGTTACATTTATTTTCATTATGGTCTGTTTTAAAGTTTGCTGGCTATAGATAGTTCATTTGCTGATTTTACTTGTTTCGAAGAGTGTTTGCGTACTATCGGCGAGACAAGATTTGCCCCCCGCAAAACATCGCGCCGTCCACTTGCTCTGCAACCCAATACTTTCCGCCGAAGCGCCTCCCACCAAACCGCTCCAGTTTGCCGCCTCAGACGTTTAAAGCACCTGTGCTCTCGACCTTAACCTCGCTCCATATATTATTGTTGTCGGTGGTTAATGGGAAAGATGAACTGTGCTGCTGTTTCTCTTCGGTTTACATGAACGTTCGTATTTAAAAAAAATTGTTTTCTTGCAGTAATTTTCCACTGAATTTTCTTATTAACTAGTGGACATATCGCCTGGCAGGTATGCTCATGTTGTCGTGCTCTACGTCGTGCTCTACCGGCTGCTTGCTGCATACTTACTGAAGTAAAACGTCAGTGTGTTCGCAAATACAATCGGTTGCCCAATTTAATTACAGGTATAATTCCTAAATTTTTATTTTGTGCATGTGCCGAAATTCATTCACCAAAACATATGCCCTGAATATGTTGAACTTTCAGATTTTTTGACGTCTTAGTTCTTATTCAGGCTTTTGTGCTGCTACCTCAGGTCTTCCCTTCAATTGGGAACTTGTGCTTCTGCTTTATGGTTGTAGGCATGGTTATGGTGATCTATTTACGTTGTTGTCGTAATTTTATACATTATTAGTACATGCACAACATATAGCAAAGAGAATGAATTTACACTATAGAAATATTGTACTGGGATGGTATGGTTCTATGGAGATGAATCAAATAGGCCCCAAAAAAGAAAATGGAAGAGGCCCCAAAACAAAAAATGGCGACGCTAACAAAATAGTCTTGTTTTAGTTGATTTGGATCTATCATCATCTTTTTCAGTTCACGGATCCGTTGTCGAAGTGAACCGATGTTCTTTACAATTAATGTCAATAAAATAACTATTATTACTCGTATATACATTTCTTCTTGTTTTGTTTGGTAATGATGCAGCTATTTTTATGTGCCTAATTCGAGTTGCAAACTTGTTTTCCTGATATCTATCAGTGTTTACTCATATTTAAACACTTCATTTTTTGCACAGATTAAACACTATCCATTATGTTGTCTTTTGTTTCCTTGATTGCTATTTAACAGGAGTTTTTTTCATAAAGGAACTATGAAGCAAGACTATGCAGAGGTTTCTACATGGATTTGTCTTTGTTGTAGTGAAATGGTAATTATTTTCCTTGTAAATCTTTAAGAGTTGTGATAAATAGAAATTTATATCTTCGATTGCTATTAACAGTAGTTTTATTGTCAGTGATTAGGATGTGGAATGTTCACCTCTCCACTTCTCATTATCGCGAGGTATTTTACTTTTTGTTTTTTTTCTTTTCTTCCCCATTTTGTACTGGTTTTCTAGATAAGAATGGAGCATCCCGGATTTTGTATTCGAAGCTGTTTTCCCATTTCTTTGCGGATTCAGAGCAACTTCTCAACAATTTGCAATTGCCCTGTGAGTTTCATTTTCTTTCTCTCTGTTTTGTTTTTGCTTTCCCGTTGGTCATAATGTTTTTCTTTTTCTATTAATACCAATTTCCAAAATACCTGGTCATTGTCGGTAACGAGGAGAAAACTAGCTGGCTACTGCTCACACTTCAAAGGTAGCAAGCACTTCCAGATAATAATTTGTTGTCTTTGTTGTTCCGTTCTTTTTGTGCGTGTGTGCTTTCCTTATCGTGGAGGAATTTGATGTTTTTTCTTCTGTGTTTTTTATCTATTATTTGATATACTCCAGAAAAATAACGGCAATTAAATTTCCCCACTTCGGTGTTTTTTGGGTTTCAATAACCACCATATATGCCCATAGGGTCAAGATTTTATGTCTTGCCTTCAGAAACTTATGTAAAGAGAAGAACTCCAATGGGGCGTGTTCAACCTTATTTTAATTAGAAGTTATTAATCTCAAAGATGAAGTTGTCTATTTGGACATGATATTGCCTGCTTTAGCACTGCTAAATTATGTTCTAAAGTTAGCTGTGTTAGTAGTTGTGCCTAATGAACTATCGATGTGCTGCTAATATGAAATGTTCTTTTTGGTTTAACTAAAAGGCCCAATTTCCTGAACATAGCCTCGGTAGAAGCAAACCCAACTAATAAGCAAGCCCTTGGTCACCGAGCCAACCTCGTCCAACACCATTTACGAGAAGGTGCGGTCGTCTCAATCATATATTGTTTCAGGCAGGACAATTTCGGCGAGGAGGAGGTGTGTATCTTCAGCCAGAGAGAGCGGAAGTACCCCAATGGCGAAAGGTCAAATCAGGCCTCAAAGTCGGGATAATGGAAAGCCACTGGTATAGGATAGCACCAGGTTTTGTTTATTACAAGATATCAGAAAAACCGAGTTACTTTGGGTATTTAAGAATTTTTCTTGCTCATTGAGTAATTTTGATTTTGTTTTTGTTTTTGTTTGTTTAGCGCCTTGTCTTGCTCGCTGGCATATGGTTCTAAATAAGCACATTTCTTTATCCAATATCATTTTTTTTAGATGTATAGGGAGTTGCAGAATTAGTACATTTCTGTAACCAATAACATAATTTTTTGAAATGTATAGGGATTTCCATAATTTTTGTTTCCGTTATGCTCTTTTATTATTTACAATTTATTCTTTGAAACTGTAATTGGTTATTGTTTTTTGGCTGTGAATCTGCAAGAGGGAACAAGTTCTTCAAAAACTTTTGCATGTGTTGTTGCTCCTTTATCTGGAATTGCTTTCTTGTGTTTTGGCTAGGCCTTTGTCTCTTGATTCATTTACAGGTTTGCCCTTTTTTTGTGTTCCACCTTCGGCTTGCTCTTGGTCTCTCTGTTCATATACAGGTTTTTTGCTTCTTCGAGAATTACATTCATTTGTTTCTGGTGCCATTTACTTTTTACACCTGATTTTATTTGGACGAGTGATTTCTGAGACGGAGATGAGTTCTGCCACGTTTGTTGATGGCGCCACTCCGAAGAGTAGCTTTGCGCGTCCGACGACTTCTTTTGCTTTACGGCTCATATATATATTTTTTTGTGTTATGACTTACTTTGGTTCGTTTAGCTTTTTCGTATATGTTTTTCTTCGAGAATTACATTCATTTTTTGCTGGTGACATTTACTTATTACACTTGATTTTATTCGGCCGAGTGATTTCTGAGATGGATATGAGTTCGACCACGTTTGTTAATGGTACCACTCCTCTTCTTACTTTGCGTCCACTTTAATCAGGCCACGTAAAGGGCCTCTATAATTCTTCAATTCCGTAAGTGATTTTTGACTTCTTGTTTCTTCACATTCTTCGAGCTTACTGACCGCCCTCAGCTGGCTCTTGGGTCTGGTTACCTGGTCGTAACACTAATATTCCGCAAAGTTCCGGCATAAAATTCTTTCCAATGGCTATTTTGGCTAATGA